TGAATTTTTTTTAATCGTATTTTACCTTTCTTATTATTCTGGGCTGTAATAACTTGTAATAACTATTGGGGCTTCTAATGAAAAGGGGAGGGTAAATCATGCATGCAAAAAGGGGTAGATATCATGTTCATAGGTGATTATTATACTTCTGCACTTATATCCTGCTTTCAACTTTCGTTTCTGTATTGCATATAGATACCATGTCTATAGGTTACGCATTTCATATAGAAACCATGTCTATAGGTTATGTATTTCATATAGAAACCATGTCTATAGGTTCTGCATTTCATATAGAACCCATGTCTATAGGTTCTGCATTTCTGCATCATATAGAGACCATGTCTATAAGTCATCTCTGAAACGCTGTATATCATATAGATAATATGCCTATAGGACTTCCTGAATTTTGCATCTGCATCTATCACTAGGCAAACTCGTTTATATGTTTAAATAACTAACAACATTTAGATATCATGCCCATAGGACTCTGCACTCTTGTTTCGCTTGTAAAAAATATTTTTCAAATCAATAGCACCTAGAAAGCATGCCTATAGGAGCTATCAACTAAAATCTGAATCGCCCATTCGCTTATAAGTCTAAAATCAGCAGTAACAACAACGACTGTAGAATTTATACTCCTGTAATTGACATTTTCTTTCCTAAATCAGCATACTTCTTTTCTGAACTAATAGATATCATCTATAGGTTTCGTTTAACACTTAGGCAAGCCATAGGATAACTTATAAATGGAATCAAATTTTTATTAACTACAACCAGCAGGCAGGCCTGATTTGGGCTTCTTATCTGAAATATGTAATAGATCAGTCCGCCACAACTTTTAAGTTTAAACATACCCTAATCAGTACGTGTAAAGACATGCTAAACTATATGCTTCTCTTTGTTTTCTTTAAGGAGGTTTGTTTTAGCCCTTTCTATCTGTTATGTGCTTCTCCCCCATATTTGTTACATATGTGTTTTGATTGTCGCCTTAGTATTTTGTCCTTTGAAACTATAAAACCTCACATCCCTCCCCTTTAGGATTAGTAGTCCCAAATACCTCCGGGACGATAGGATTGGGGCGGGTAGTAGCATGCAATAAGAAAACGAGACTATTCCGCGTTTTAATACCTTAACGGGGTGGGAAAGGGTAGATATGGATATGATGACCACGCAGTAACACCACATGTATAAACGGTTACCGGGTGTTGTGTGGGGTGATCCATATTATTTATAAACCTAGGACCCCCCTCCCTTTACTTGTTTATTTTTAAAAGACTGCTTTTCTCAAATTTCAGCTTCTTTAATCTTTCTTTTTAACTTCAATTACTTGCAGTAATTATGTGAAAACCCCTTTCCTTTACTTGTTTATTTTCAGAATTTCAAAGACTACTTTCTTCCCAAACTTCAACTTCTTTAACTTCTTTCAATTGCTTGCAGCCATTATGTGAAAACCTCCTCGTATTTGTAATTCTTGCTTGGCTACTTGTTGTTTGCACTTAAAGTCATAATTATAGCATGGCCGGGAACCACACTAGTGGATCTCGAGGGGTGCCTAACACCTTCCCCTCGAGATAATTTCAAGCCCTTACCCATTCTCTGGTTTTCTAAATCAAATTTCTTCTTAGTGTCCTAATGCACTTAATCATTAGGTGGCGACTCTTCAATTCAAACCCAATTCCCAAAAGGAAACGAGTTGTCCACCCAAATGTCATAAACCCGATTTCGCGAGAAAAAGGGGGCATCGACAGTATTCTGCCCATTGAGAAGTTGTTTATAGGAGGGGATTTTATAAGGCATATTGGGACGTCCATAGGGGGCTATGGGGAGGTTTATGGTGGTTTTGGATTTAGGGATAGGAACGGATGAGGTACGAATTTGTTGGACTTCTCTAAGGTTTTTGAGTTGGTAGTAGCGAACTCTTGCTTCTCCAAGAGGGATGGAAATTTGGTTACTTTCCTAAGCATAGTGGCTAAGACTTAGATTGATTATCTGCTCCTCAATAGGGGTGATAAAGGCTTGTTCAAGGATTGTAAGGTTATCCCTAGCGAGTCCCTCGCATCGCATAATAGGCTATTAGTGATAGACGTCGGCATCATGATGAAGAGGAAGAAGCAGGTTGCATAGGGTCGCTAAGGGTTATGGGAGCCTGGAGGAGAAGTGGGTACGCGAGTGTTATGTGGTCGATGACGTAGAACTGTATTATGGAGGCTGCGAGGGAGGTGTTAGGGGTCTCAAAGGGTTACTTGAGCGGGCACATAGGAGACTGGTGGTGGGATGGAGATGTTCAAGGAAAAGTGGAAGCAAAGAAAGTGGCATACTTGAAGTTAGTGGAGAGTACAGACGAGGAGGAGAGAAGAGCGAACAAAGCAGGTTATAAGAAGTCTACGAAGGAGGTAAAGCTAGCGGTCACTGATGCCAAGAATGCAACGTTCAGTCGTTTGTATGAAGAGTTGGGGGACAAAGGCGGGGACAAGAAGTTATTTCGGTTGGCCAAGGTTAGAGAGAGAAAGGCTCGTGATCTGGATCAAGTGAGGTGCATCAAAGACGAGGAAGGCAGAGTTTTAATGGATGAGGCTATGATTAAGAGGAGACGACATCCTTACTTTCATAAACTTCTGAATGAAAAGGGGGACAGAGACATTGTGTTGGGTAATTTGGAGCATTCCAAGAGATGCCATGATTTTAGGTACTGTAGGCATATTAAGGTTGAGGAGGTGATGGGCGCTATGTGTAAGATGAACAGGGGCAGAGCAACTGGGCCGGACAAGATCCTAGTTGAATTTTGGAGGTATGTCGGTAGAGAAGGCCTGGAGTGGCTAACCAGGTTGTTCAATGTTTTCTTTAAGACGAAGAAGATGCCAGAGGAATGGAGATGGTGTAAAATGATCCCGTTGTACAAGAAAAAAGGTGATATCCAGAATTGTAACAACTATAGGGGTATCAAGCTGCTTAGTCATACTATGAAAGTGTTGGATAGGGTGGTGGAAGCGAAGGTGAGGAGGTCGGTGTCTATATTTGAGAACCAATTCCGATTCATGCCGGGTTGTTAAACTACCAAATCTATCCATCTTATCTGGAGGTGGAACAGTACAGGGATAGGAGGAAGGATTTGCACATGGTGTTTATTGACCTAGAGAAAGTGTACGATAATGTCCCGAGGGAGGTTCTTTGGAGATGTTTGGAGGTAAAAGGTGTTCTGGTAGCATACATTTGTGTGATTGAGGACATGTATGATGGACCCAAACTCGGGTTAGGACAGTAGGAGGAGACTCAGAGCATTTTTCAGTGGTTATGGGACTACACTAAGGATCAACGCTCAACCCTTTCTTATTTGCACTAGCGATGGACGCACTGACGTACCATATTCAAGGGGAGGTGCCATGGTGTATGTTATTTGCTGATGATATAGTTCTGATCAATGAGACGCGAGGAGGTGTTGACGAGAGGCTGGAGGTTTTGAGACAAACCCTTGAATCTAAAGGTTTCAAGTTGAGCAGGACTAAGACTGAGTACTTGGAGTGCAAGTTTAGCAATGTCATCGGGGGAGTAGACAACGACGTGAGGCTTGATTCACAAGTCATCCCTAAGAAAGGAAGTTTTAAGTAACTTGGGTAGATTATCTAGGGGAACGGGGGGATCGACGAGGATGTCATGCACCGTATAAGAGCAGGTTGGATGAAATGGAGGTTAGCATCTGGCGTTTTATGTGACAAGAAGGTGCCCACGAAACATAAAGGCAGGTTCTACAGAGCAGTGGTTAGACCAGCCATGTTGGTTGGGGCAGAATATTGGCCAGTCAAGATAGCCCATATCTAGAAGATAAAAGTAGTATAAATAGGGATGTTGAGATGGATGTGCGGGCACACGAGGTTGGATAATATAAAGAATGAAGATATTTGGGCAAGGGTGGGTGTGGCTACCATGGAAGACAAAATGTGGGAAGTGAGGCTTAGATGGTTCGGGCACGTGAAAAGGAGAAGCCTAGATGCCCCGGTTAGGAGGTGCGAATGGTTGGCTCTGACGGGTGCGAGAAGAGGTAGAGGGAGGCCTAACAAGTATTGGGTAGAGGTGATTAGGCAGGACATGGCGCGAGTCCAGCTCACCGAGGACATGACCGTTGATAGGAAGGTATGGAGGGAGAGCACTAGGGTTGAAAGTTAGTAGGTAGTTGAGCGTTTTTGTGTAAGCCTAGTCGTGTTTTAGTATGCTAGTGTACACTTTGTGCTCGTACTATTTTTTAGGACCTTGCCACTACGCTGTTTATTGATATGGCTTTTCCAGGTATATTTTCTGATTCTTAGCTCGCTGGTACTATCTTTCTAGTTATGTTATTTTTATTATTCTATTATCGCATTACATCTTCTTGTGCCGAGGGTCTATCAAAAATAGCCTCTCTACCCCAGGGTAGGAGTACGATCTACGTACACACTACCCTCCCCATACCCCACTTGTGGGATTATACTGGATTATTGTTGTTGATCGGAGAGGTCGTACACTAGATACTCCATGGTTGTAGACTGGCTTGGCATAGTCTCCCAATGATCATCCAGGCCTGGTATATTATTTTCAAATTTGTCTTCAACTAGAGGTCGGTTCAGGTTGAATCTTTGTCCTCCATTCCCATCAACCGTTTCATTAGCTCTAAGAGATGCTTCAGCAGCTGCCCGTGCGGCTGCTTCCCGTGCAGCCAAATCAACTATCTCCTCACTGTTCTTAGCCATGTTCTCTTGGTTTGAAGATTGCCCCAAGAATTTCTCGATGAGTTCATTCTCTTTTCTCAGCTGTCGCAGGTGTTTTTCCAACTCTGGATTGTAAGGTATTACTTCTTTTGAAGAAGATGGAGTCATACACCGACGAACTTAACCTGTTGCCTGCACACGGAAAAGAAAATAATGAAGAATAAAATAAAATTGATTCCTGAATTAGCACCCAAAACTATTTTGAGCACTATTGATTGCCAATCCCCAGCAAAGACACCAAAATTTGACGAGCGCAAAACACAACACGAAATTAATGCTCGTTATCCAAAGATAGTATAGTTATGATTATCGTCTTCGCAGTGATTGGATTTAAACAATGTTCAAGTAATTTTTAGCTTAATACTATTCAAGATGATTAACACATTGATTGGGATGATTAATAACTAAAATTAACTATGAAACTAAAACAATTGACAATTGGTCACTGAAGACAAGAGTTGAGTAACACTGAAATAACAATGGGAGAAATAAGGGTCGTGACAGGATAGGTTCAAGAACTCTAGTTCAATTCACTCTGATGTTCTAATTATTCTCACAAATTCACTCGATGTTTATTTCAAACGTGTAGTCAAGACTCCTCTCTCGATAAAATATTAACTCCACGAGGTGAACTAATATAAGCACTGTGAAAATATGCAAGCATGCGTTAATGGATTGATCTTCAGGAAAACGTCTCTCAATATTCTCCTAACTTTATTTAATTAACAATTCAACAAGCTCGTTCGATTACTTGAAAGAATCATTGGATTAAACCAAACCAAATAATGCAAAGATAATCACCAAAATATTCCTCTTTCGATTCAATAAACCGGTGAATAAGGTTGCAACAATTCAAAGCTCCATAAACAGATTCAAGCAAAGAACTAGAGTTAAACTGTTACACCCCATGTTTTAGTACGTGGAAGTACGCCATAAGTAAATTGATATAATCTCGAAAACGAGATGTTTGCATTCCACATTTTCGTACGTTAAAGTTTCGTCGTAAGCTAATTGACGTAAGTTCGGGAATGAGATTATTTTGAGATTGTAAGCATTATGATATTTCAAACAAATGATGAGTAAATTCGTGAAGGTGAGAGGGGAATCAAATCAAAGAAAATGAATTTTCGTCAGAATTTGACATGTCGGGATAAAATATGGCCCGAGCTAAAATACTCGGTATTTATGGACTAGTGCCACACAACATGATCATGATAGTACGGTGTATAAGGTGTGTTAAAAGTGAGTAGTATTTTAAGTAATTTGAGATAATTCTTAATTATGTAGACAAGGATATTTTTGGGGCTGCCACATGGCATTAAGCCAAGCCAAGTGGCACAAATATGCATGATGAGTCAAAAAACTTAAGTTGCCACGTAAGGGTCTTTTGGATAACTACCTTGGTTGGTGTCTTATTTGGGAATGTAAATTAGAGAAGACCAGCAACGTTATCCAAACTCATGTATAAGGAGCTAAAGTTACTCTAATCCATTGTCACGTAAGGATGCAAAATTTTCCAAGAAGTTTAAACAAATGGCTTAGAAAAGAAATGATTGAGAAAAAGATGCATACAATCTTATTTGCTTCTATGGATTCTTACTTGATAACGTTGCTTGCAAAGACTAGCAAAGTTGGATACTCCAACGGAAGAATTCTCAAAAAATGAATTCATACGAATTTCATAACGCTACAGCAGTGTGAGACGCAATTCGGATGGAGCACGGTACAATCTTTCTCAGAAATATCATACGGATTTTTCCCTACTTTGATCCGCCGTTATGTGTTCTTCGCAAAATACATGTGTTAGAAGAATTGTCAAGAGAATCGGCTCAGGTATGTTAAGGCTATCCCTTTCTTTCTTTCTAGCATGATCCCTACGATAAAATCGAAACGAGCAAATGCACAATTTCCATAAATAACTCTATGCATAGAAGTACTAGAAGTGCCTATGTTCTTGATTCTCCACGTGTCCTATTATTCTTTTATATGTTCATGGGTCTCAGAAAATACGTAAGTTGATAAAGTTTGTTTCATGATACTAATCAGAGGTATAATGGTCTTATGACGTTCCGAGAGATTTTATTGACGTACTTCACATGCATTGCATTTATTTATACATGTACATTGAACCATGATCAGATGGCGTTATATACGCGTATATATATATATATATATATATATATATATATATATATATATATATATATATATAACACCATCTGGTCTATTGTTTATTGATTTTCATTCCTTACATACTCGGTACATTATTTGTACTGACGTCCCTTTTGCCTGGGGATGCTGCGTTTTATGCCCGCAGGTTCCGATAGACATGTTGAGAGTCCTCCAAGCAGGCTATCAGCTCAGCGGAAGGTGTTGGTGCGCCCCATTTGCTCTGGAGTTGCTTATTTGGTCAGTATATTAGGATATGTATTGGTTGGTATGGCGGGGCCTAGTCCCGACCTTTGTGATACTTATGTATTCTTAGAGGCTTATAGACAGATGTCATGTATACGGATACTTGTATGGCCTTGTCGGCCTATGTTTTGAGTTTACAAATGATCATGTTGGCCTTATAGGCCCGTATGTCACGTATGTAAGTTCTTATATCAGGTTGGATCGTTCTATGTTGAGTATATTCCCATGTTTTATTCTACTTATCTCACGCCAGCCTCTCTGGCTCATTTACCTATGATAGTATGATACAAAAGATACGTTATGTAGGTACTCGATTGAGTAACGCACCGGGTGCCCGTTGCGGCCCATCGGTTTGGGTCGTGACATAAACTCCACAAATAGCAATCAAAACACCATATCCGTCAAACCTTAAGAGAAACTACTCCATAATCATAGAGGAAGTCATCATAAATATAATTAAATAGTAAGAAAACATCAATCTAACGTTACAATCCAGACTCTCGTATTGAATTGATGGAAAGATGATGAAATCTTGTGTCTTGTAGCCTTATATGCTCTCCAAAAGTTTCTAAGGTCAAAAGTCCTCTAAATATCGTGTTTTTGATGTATTTATACCATTTAGGAACGGGTCGTACGAAACTATCCTTTCCAAGCGAAAGTGAAAAAAGTTGGGCGAGAAAATACACTACTGTGGCGCACCGTGCGCCGCTTTAGTGGGAAAATTTAGAGGCCTATTTTTTCACTCTGAAGGAAATTTGCACTAGCGCCCAGCGGCGCATGGTGCAGCGTGATACTGCATTTTTCTCAGAGTAATCTTTTTTTCTCACTTTTGATATCATGACTTGGTCCTCAACCCCCGAATGTGATCCCGACTTAATTTCTTGGGCTTCTACTCA